CTGTCTTAGGCGACCCCTGTCAAAGGGTCGTTCGACCGCGAAAGGGGTCGCGACCCACAGGTTGAGAACCACTGGGATAGAGCATCAGCCTGCAGACTGAAGGGTCTCGGGTTTGATTCGGGTCAAGGGCACATGCCAGGGTTGCAGGTTTGATCCCCAGTAGGGGGCATGCAGGAGGCAGCCAATCAATGATTCTCTCCCATCATTGATGTTTCTAACTCTCCCTCTCCTTTCCTCTTTGAAATCAATAAAAACATATTTTAAAAAGTTATTTATTTATGTATTTATTTATTGCCCTATAGAAGGAAACTTTATTCACTGCAAAGAGTTCAATGTTGGTATGACACAGCTGGGAGAATAGCACAGCTATGGTTTGAATGCTGAACAGTTGAGTGATGAAGCAGCATGGGTGTGGAAAATCATGACTATGAGGTAACTCTGGGATAAGGCGGCCCTCGGCAAGACCCCGCTCTGGCTAGACAGCTCTGCTCTGCTCCAGTGCGCTCCACTCTGCCCCCTTCCACTCTGCCTGGCTTTGCTCAGCTCAGCTCTGCTCTGCTCTGCTCTGGGCCAGCAAGACCTCTTTAGTGTTGGCAGTTCAGCCCCAGTCAGGGAAACACATTCTCCCTGAAAAGGGAAAGTGCACTCCTAAATATATGTATTAAAAAAAGATACAGAATTATGGGTGAGAAAGTCAGTGATGATATTAGTGTAGCTGGAGCCAATGAACTGTGGAGGTGAGAGGATGAGATAGAGAACTGAGAGGGAAAAGAAGGGAAGAAAGGATGAAGGAGAGAAGAGAGTGAGAGTGCACTGTAGGAGAGAAATATATTGAGCATTGGGATGAATTATTGAGTTGAATGAAAAGAATATAAACTTAATTTCAGGTAGGTCTACCCCTTTGTTTCTTTAAAACCTTGTCTAACTTATTAGGCCATTCCATCCTATTGATTTCACAAAATTAGTATGGTTAGATTGATGTTTCCTAAGCATCAGCAATTCTACCAACTTTGTAGTTTTTGTCATATATGCTCTCCCTTAGCACTATTTATTGCACATTAAACTGACTTTAAATTGATCAAAGAAGTAATCAAACTGGAATCATCTGTTTGATGTGATATATATCTACACTAATAAAGACAAACATGCAAACTGACCATACCTTTGCTACGCCTTAAGCCACAACCATCAGCCAATCAGAGCGACTATATGCAAATTAACCCAACCAAGATGGCAGCCGGCAGCCCAGCGATGGAAGAAGCCAAGCTTCCCGGCCAGCTGCTGCCTCCTCTCAAGGCAACAAAGTTTCAATTATAGAAGGTAAATAAACCCCAG